CTTCAGCGTTTATGCTAACACTCCTAGGTTCTAGGAACTAAGGTCAAGATACCTGCCTGGGGTCATTTTTCGGGCTAGTACACCCTGAACACACAAGGGGAAACGGAGGTATGGATTTATGCTGGGAGGCTGAGAGTGGAGCTTGCATACTGTGCTCACATAGCTCTACCTCTCCCTGGGATGCTCTTTAGGCTGCAGTATCTGCTTTCTCTTGGGCTCTTGGAAGGCCAACTCCCACGAGCCCTCAGACCCTGGCTGTGCGTCCTTAGATCGTCCCCTCAGCATGACAGATAGGCGCATGCGCTGCGTTGTCCCTGAGCATGCAGGACGGGTTCCTCGGAACCACAGCCCTCAGGGTGCTCTCCTGCATCTGCAAAGCTTCAGTTTTATTCATCTGTATTTTTGTTTTTGCTGAGGCAGTCTCCCTCTCGCCGGAACCTCCTCAGCCTCCTAAGAGCTAGGACCACAGGTGTGAACCATCACAGCTGGCTATTTCTCAGTTGGGGGGGGGTAACAGAACGTAACTGCTGGGGATGCTACTCGGTTGGTGCGGTGCTTGCCTGTATGGGTTCAATCCCCAGGACCTTATACATCAGGCATAGTGGCATACTCTTGTAACTCCAGCACTAGGGAACTGGAAGCAGGAGGGTCAGAATTTCAAGGTTATCCTCAGTTCACAGTAAGTTCAAGGCCAACCTGAGCTACCAAAGAGCCCATCATAAAAAAAAAAAGGTAAATTTGATGTTCATGTAACATACATTCACCAAGAAAAATGAAGAAAGAAAAAAAAGAAAATTATATACCCTGGGAGACAAAGGAAAGGTATTGTAATTTCTGCCCATCTGTCCACCATGGCTTTTTCAATGCCCATAACCACCTTGAAAAAGCTTTGGTTTGGGGGCTAAAGAGCCGCAGCCTTGAAAATGCTACTTTTTAGGGCAGGAAACACGATTCTAAGGAAACATCTCCACCCCCAGAGCCAGCTCTGTGACCTCCGGCAAGTGATTTAACTATTTTGTGCCTCAGTTTCCTTAAAAGGGGAAGTATGCTACTCAGATGATGGCCAGATGACAGACAGCAGGCACCTGAGACTGCGGCAGTGAAGGCCACGGACCTGCGAGCTGTCACCACCGTGAGGATCACACATTGTGAAGGGGCCATCTGGGCGGTGGGTAAACGGCCTGGGCCGTGTGTCCTGAGCTGAACACCTTCTTCTACTGTCCACAACTTGCCACTTTCTCCAGTAACTAATGACAGGACGCACATCCCTGAATGGATACCCCTGCACGCGTCTTGATTTGTTCCTAAGAATTCAACTGCAGAGGCACAGCCCTGAGACACCACCACCCATCTGCTCTTCACGAGAGTGGCACCAGCTTTTCTTGCACGCAGTGGACAGAGGACCTGGACTCCCCACTCCCTAACCCCACTCCCGCCAGCAGGGACCAAGCTTTTACGTATACGAGGCTATGGGGCCATTCTCATCAAAACCACTGTAGTTGTGGGGAATCTCTCATAGTTTTACAGGATATGTTTAAATAGTGCCCGATTGTTGGTGGGCCTGTTGAGGGGAAACTGAGGCACAGAACTGCCTTTGGGGACTAGATTTGGGACCCCGAGTCTCCCTCTCTAGCTCCTCCGTCTCAATACACACCACCACTTCACTGGGATGCTGGCTGCAGCAAGGCAGTGAGGTTTCCTGGTCCTCAAAGGTCTACTGTGGAGAACCCGGCGAGGGGACTGGATGCCACTGAGCAGAGGGACGAGAGACCACAGGGCACTGAGGAGCGAGCTTAGAAACTTGCTCACATCTTGCTCACATCTAAGCGTGGAAGGCGCTGCTCCATCCCATTTCACAGAGGAGGAAATGAGCTGAGGAATGGCTTAGTCTGGCCCGAAGTTGAGCAGGCAGGAGGCCGTGGGCACATCAGGGAGGCTATGCATCACCCACTCTCGGCTACGAGGATGTGGCAAAGTAACCGACGCTGCCAGCAGAAATAGGTACAGTGGTAAGATGGAAGCCGCCAGAACTACTAGAACCAAGTTCCTGGGGCGGGGGGGGGGGGTGCGGCAAGGGTCAGAAGCCTCTGCAAAACCATCCTGGAAGCACAGGTGATGAGCAGGAGGTTTGAGCCTCCTGAACTGAGCACCTGCTGTATGCTACCACAACAAACCCATCAACCTGTCACCTAAACATCACTCCAAGGAGATGAGTTAAAAAAAAAAAAATCTGCCAGTTGCCTGTCAGCAGGGGTAACATGGAGTGTGTATGTGGCAGATCCCAAGTCCTTACTAGCCAACAGGGCAAGGCAGGTAGACTCCTTCATTATCAGGAGAAGGAGTCAAAGTGGAGGGACCCTTGAGGTCCCAATCAGATGTGTTACCTGCTGTGCCTCAGAAGACCTCATGGCATCTCTTAGGTGTCTGTATAAGGAGACCGTACGCAGGAGGTTAGACAACCTGTTTGAAATCACTGCTGCCGGGCGACGGTGGCGCACGCCTTTAATCCCAGCACTCGGGAGGCAGAGGCTGGCGGATCTCTGGGAGTTCGAGACCAGCCTGGTCTACAGAGCTAGTTCTAGATCAGGCTCCAAAGCCACAGAGAAACCCTGTCTCGAAAAACCANAAAAAAAAAAAAAAAAAAAAAAAAAAAAAAAAAAAAAAAAAAAAAAAAAAAAAAAAAAAAAAAAAAAAAAAAAAAGAAAGAAAAGAAAAAAAAAGAAATCACTGCTAGCTGTGGCTGGAGTTTAAACCTATGAGATAAAAGGGAGTGGGGGGGGGTGAGAGCAGAGGGGTGCATGAAGGAGATAACAAAAGGGGTTCAGAACTCATTCCGCAGCCCGGGCTGGCCCTAAATTCACCGCCCGCCCTCGTGCTTCAGCCTCTTGGGTGACAAGATTACAGGTGTACCACCACGCCTGGCCACAGCCAGGTCTGGTACACTGGGAGCTCACGACACTAACAGAGTCCCGTCGACGCCTGGCCAGGGGTTCAGAAAGCCTGGCACAGCTCAATGAGGGCCTAAGGGCACACTGCACATGGAACCCCTGTCCAGACCCTCACTGTGATGCCAGCATCCCTCATCCATTCTCTCTGAGGGCCACATGGAGATGGGAGGACCTGGTTCTGCGCTCAAGCAGGACTCTGAACCCCAGGCTCCACAGACCTCTTCCCTTCCATCAGGGTGTTTTGAGGAGTTAACTTGCCTGCAGCTCTCTTCAAGGTGGGTGGCCAGGTCTGTCTCATGTGAGAGCCATAAGAAAAAGCTGAAAGGAGGTGGTGGGTGCCCCAAACACCCAGCCAGGGATTCCTATGAGCCCTTCTCTATGAGCTCAGCATGGCCCACCGTGGTTTAGCAAACAGCCCAAACCCTCATCTGGCCTACTTTCCTCTCACACCCCACCACACACACATGCACACTTTCACACACACATGCTCACACACACTCACAGCCCAAACCTTTACCTGGCCTACTTCCCTCCAGCTCCCATCATCCCCAACACATACGGGGCCCTCCAGTGCTAAGCCACTCCTGGATCAAGTCACTGGCACCAGAGGGTCCACACAGACCACCCCTTGATGCTTCAGCTTGAAATGTGGCCTCCCTTCCCATGAACGGAAAGTTCTACTTTGTACCTTCAAATGCAGCCTCTGCTCTAAGCTCTGCATCCTCTCTGCTCCCAGCCCCAGATCCCATTCTGGTTCCCGACTACACACAGGGAGCGGCAGCCCCTTCCTCATTTTATGGTCTGGGGCCTGCGTTCTACCAGGACCCCAAGTGTGGGAAGGCATCTCTTGGAATATGTTCATCGGGTATACATGGGTTGGGCCCAGCTGGGTCCAGTGGGGTCTGGACAGGGCCTGTCACCTCCAGGCCAGGTGTCCACCTCCACCCTGGGAACACAGCAGCCTCCAGTGCTGTTGGGTTTCATGTGTGAGGACCTTTCAGACACCTGACCCCTGTCCTTGCTCCCTTTCCCATCTCCTCTAGGCATCTATCTTCTCCAAGACATTCCAGTCACTGGCCGAAGGATGCCCTCAGTGGGGCATCTGGTTTCTTTCCGTGGTGGTCCCAAGGTGGATGACACTAGCTTCCACCTTCTCAGGCCATTTGACTCTACTTCCAGCAAGAAACTTCTCCCCAGAGAGAAATGGGGTTCTGACCGTCATAGGCGAGCAGGAAGAAGCCCTTGCACAGGTTCTCCCCGCTCTCCCAGGAGGCCCAAGGCTGCTTTCTCAGGGGTCAAGCGACAGTTGACTGATAGACAGAGCCTTTGGGGATGCTGCTCGGAGCTGGCGGGACACCGCAGGGGACCTCTCTCGCCGCTCCACGACCCCAGCGCCGGCGCTCCACCCTCCCAGACACCGGTGCCAGGGACTCAGTAGAGCCCGGTGTGTTCCAGGTTTCGCTCCCCTGGGAATGCGCACCCGGGATCGCCCCTTCCAACCTGGGCCACCGCGCCTCGAGCCTGCTCTAAGTCGGAAAGCGGCAGTGGCGAGCGGCGGGCTGCGGTACCTGTCAGCAGTTGGAGCCTGTGTCCCAGCACCTTCATCTCGGCGTCCGGGGAGCGCGCTGGGCCGCCCGGGGCAAGGCGCACGGTAGCCGCAGAGAGGAGCGGCGGGAGAGCTCGAGCGGCGGGAGCAGCAGCCGGTAGCGCGGAGCGCTCACCGCCCCCTCCAGCAGGGTTTAAAAAAATCCACCAATGGCACAGCCTCGCACCCCAAAAGACACCCGCCGCCACCTGGCCGGGGTGAGCGCCGAAGGGAGGGAGCGTGGCACCGCGGGAGGGGCTACACGCGAACAAAGACGCCTGCTGCCCCCGGCCGTCGCGGCAAGACAAGTGTCCCTGTCTCCGGGGTTCGGGGCCAAGAAGGGGAGGGATGGCTGGGAGACAGGGCGTCGCCCTCGCGTGGGCGGGAGGTGGCCGCGGAAGATGGTGCGGGGCTGCAGTGTGACTGCACCGAGAGGGGATGACAGGGGTGAGGGCGCGGCGACTCACCCAGGCTGCCGAGCGACACGGTCGCGCAGGCGGGAGCCGGGCCTGGACGTCGCCGCCCACGAGCGGTGCAGGTTCTCGGCACAAGCAAGCCCCGGAGCTGGGGGCGGGGCGCCGCGCCGGGGGGCGTGCCCACGTGGGTGGGTGGGCGTGGGCCGAACCGCCCGTCCTGCTTGGTGGCTGTTCCGGGGCGGCCACCGGCTGTGGGAGTGGGCGGGAGGCCCGGTGGGATGACCGACAGCCTGGCACAGACCCAGGCAGTCTGCAGCTCACCTCTGACGGGCTCCCAGTGAGGGTCCCCCTTCTGCACAGCGCTCCGCGTGGACGCACGCTGGCCCTGGCTTCAGGTGGCCAACACTTGAAGTGGCAATGAATTAACTCGACTGCCCGCTGAAGAAGCTGCTGAGCTTTTGATGGCTGCAGGTGGGGTACACATCCCTGTTTACAGCTTGTGTGGTGCTTTGGGCAAGCGTTGAGACCAGAGCAGCAAGCTTGGTTTCTGGAGGTTTGGGAAATCCCTCCCTCTTGGTGTCTTCCTTTGTTAAAGGAGTTGGGGTGGGGCAGTTTGGTGACTGAATGAAGCATCTCTGAAACCTTTCTTTCCTTGGGCTCTGGTTCTGTAGGTAGAAAAGTAGGGGTTCACACTTTCAAGCACTTTATTTCTTTTTCACCCCTGTGACTTCTGAGTTATTACTCTCTTCTAGCCTCTTCCCACTCGGTGAAACTGGGATGGAGCTGACCTCAGAAGAAGCCTGTTAAATCACGAGACGGGGCGGGGCGGGGTGGGGGAGGAGGGAGCCCGGGTCAGGGAGGACAGTGGAAGATGGCTCAAGATAAAGCGCTTGCCCTGCAAACAGAATTAAGATCCTCAGAACCCACTTAAAGCCCGGTAGACATGATGGCCGAAAGGGAAAGTGTTGGCTTAGGAACCCCAAGACCAAGTTCTCGAACAAAGGAGATTTATTTGCCCCACAGGGTCAAAGGACAGGCAATAAGAGACAAAGACAGAAGCTAGAGGATGAAGGAGAAGGGGAAGGGAATAAGGGAAAGGGGGCAGGGGTATTTGTCCTCTGGACAGAGGAGACAGACGTGGCACAGAGGAAAATGTCGGTTTTATAAAGGTAAAGAGGGGAAACCCCATGTTAGGATGAGGTGTTTAATTTTGATTGGACATGTTAATTAAATGAGCCAAAGGGGGTTTTTGATTGCTGGACATCAATACTTTAGTAGCTGGACCTTGGGGACAGAAGAACTCAGGGAGAAAAGGGCAAAGTCTGCTGGAGTCATGCTTGCCCTGCTCAAGCTGGCCAGAGTCTCTTCAGTGGCCGTCTGTAATCCCAAGAGACAAAGACTCCATCTGTGGGGCCTCCTGGGTAGCTGGGCTAGCTGGGTGATGAGCTACAGGCTCGTGGAGAGACTGCCTCAGTAAACAAAATGGAGACACCCAGTGTCAACTTGCAGCAAGCAGGGGCATGCACACATGGGCGCCCACACAAGTGCAAACATGCGTACACATGTACCACACACATACATACCACCCCGAAGTCAATGATAGACACTGAAGGCCATGTTTAGTGTCTTGCCAGATACATGGTTTTAGTGTTCAATAAGTGGTTGTTATTATAGGTGATGGTGAGATGGTCATTGCTGCCTCGTAGAGTCAGACTTTCCAACTTCTGCCCTTTTCAGGTATTTCAGGATGAGTCACAGGATAAGATGCCCGCTGCCTGACATGCCCTTGCTTGACATTTGCAAGTTTGTGCACACTGGAGCCCACTTGGATTTTCCAATCAGAGATAGTAATAATGGCGTCAAGATGGAGGGCTACCGAATGTAGGTATTCTTACCTGGTATATGCACAATTCTGGTGACATTGTCATCACACAGTAGCTTGGATGCACAGGCACCAGACTGCCTACAGAAAGTTCAGGGACTCCTGTCTCATTTCCCATGGTTCTCGCCTCATGCACTTCTTCCCTGGAGCCCCCGTGCTTCTAAAGCTGAATGTCTTTCAGCCTTCCAAGCCAAGCACACGGCCTGGCAGGAGTTGCCCTACATTTCTTCTTCATATTTGAAAGCTCTGGGTGGCCTCTGCGTGACAGCTGTGAGGACCCGGGCATCCACCAGAGAAGTTGAAGGAGCACTGTGGGAAGGGAAGAGCGGGCAGCAGAGTCAGATGATGAAGTAGAATGTGTCCTGAACAATATGGGGATCACCGAGGAGCTGCACCAGTACTTTCTGGAGGCTGAGAAGCACTGAGAAAAGCAAAGGCAACAGCCAAAGCTGGATGTGGAACAGGCGCCTGGTGGCTATGTGAATGCCGACCGTGACCTGTACCACAACCGCCACCCATCAGTGGATCAGTGGAACCCTGTCAGAGAAGCCCCAGGGCACAGCGTCAGGCCGAGGCGAAGCGCTTGTATGGGACCAGTGCTCCCAAGATCCTGGTCATCGAGGCTTCTTTACAGCTGAGTTTTGACAAGAAATATGACGGAAAACAGCCCCAAGTACTAGCCTGTCATTCCCCTGAAGTTCTGAGCCCTGACACAGGGACCCTAGGGAGTACCTCCTGAATGCAGCCCTTAGCTTCACTGCCTTTGTTTGGGATGTATTCTCTTCTGGGCGTTTCTCAGAGAAAGAGGCACGTAGACTGGAAGAAACATGTTCAGCAAGTCCCGTGGGCCCTTCATGTGCTGGATGCATCTAGCAGCTACATAGTGTTCTGTCGGGATATACTGCCGACATGAGCAAGATTCCCCTGACATAAACCAATAGTTGTGTTGTACTGGAATTGCTAGTAATGTCCAGTTCACTGAAGTTCTTGCCTAGAAATGGAGGAAAACAGGCCCTAGAGGTTGTAAAAGGCTTCCTGGCAAGAGCTCGGGTCTGTCTGTGTGAGGCCCAGTGTCTGCAATGACCTTGAGCTGCTACAGTTTGGCTCACAGGACCTGTTGTGTCAGGATTTGCATTCCAACCCCAGGACTTGGCAACTTGCTAGACAATGAAAAAGGTGACCATTGAAGCCCCCGGGAGACTGTCGCTGTGGGAGCAGATGCTGTGGACAAGTCACTGCAAGATTGATTCTGAGCCAGCAGAAGAGAAGAACCCACTGCCAGTCCCCTGAGCTGTGGGGCTTCCCTCATCTTTAGCTCCCTACGGAGGCCGCTTGCTGCTTGAAGGCAAGCTTGATAGTGGGGTTTTAACAGAGGGGAGTGGAACATAGCAGAGGGCCAAGCTTGTGCAGGGACAGTGCCCCTAAGAAGTGTCCTTGGCCTTGTTCCTAGTTCCTTGGAAGATGCTCCGTCAGTCACTGCTATGCAGACTAAGCAAAAGACGGGCTGTGCCATGCCTAGGCTAGAGAAGGAAGATCCTGTCTCCTCTTTTGACAGCAGACTGAAATGTCAGACATGAAACAACCTATTTTGGCTAACTGGGGCACGAGGGGACTTGGTTAAAGGATCTGGCAACTCAGGATGGCAGAAGCCAGGCTTGGTCAGCAGGCAGCCTTGATCTGGAACTAAGATTGCCAGGGTCGTGCCCGGGCCGGGGTGTTGCAGCTAGCAGTACCTGTGGATACAGACACTGTATGCTGCCATCTGGACCACAGCTGCCTTGGAACCAGAGTGGGTGCTGCGACCTCGGCTGCCATCCTCTCCCGGTGGATGGATGCTGTGTGTTTCAGTTTCTAATTCACGGTTCAGAGCACATCTGGTTGGGGGAGCCCAGATCAGGCCCTCTGATAAAGCTGCAAAGGAAGCCAGAAAGAGGGAAGTGGGTTCTGCCTCATAGGATCACCTTGGATGCTGGTAGCCAAATAAGTGCCCAGAAGCAATTCCAGGCAACAGTGGACTTGCAGCACTGTTAAGAGATGACACACATAGACACTTAGCATGGAGATTCTGGTAGCCAAATAAGTGCCCAGAAGCAATTCCAGGCAACAGTGGGCTTGCAGCACTGTTAAGAGATGACACACATAGACACTTAGCATGGATCCTGGTGCTGAGAAACATGTTGTCCCTGGTCCCCGAGACTTGCACTGTACTGTGAGCCCCCATTGTCAACCAGTGGTCTTCCCTTCTGTTTTCTCATCTTGATTCTTTTTTCCAGCAGGTGAAAGACAAAAGGACCTTCAAAGCGGTGTGTCTTGCTGCCCTTCCAGATGCAGAAACAGCGCTGCCTGCTGCCAGGAGGACAGGTGACTGGGTTTTTCCATTGTGGTGATAAATTGGGCTGAGTCACCATCCCTCTCTGGTCCCCTTGTGACCATGACTGGGAGCAAGTGGAAGAACTTAAGTGATTGGGTTAGGCAGGGGCACAGATGAGCCTGGGGCCAAAGAAACTTCATCTTTTAGCAGGGAGGGAGGAGGCAGGGGCTCCCCTCCCATCCCTATTCAGTGGCCAGGTGCCAGACAGCTCGCTGAAGGGAGCCCGTCTCACCTTCAGAGACATGGGCTTCTTATCCTCCAGTGTCAAGCCTCATGCTCCAGAGTCCACTGGAAACAAGAGTTGACCCAACATTGAGCTTTTTTTGAAATTCCATGAACTGGTGGAAGAAACCAGCAGTCAGCCCACAGTCTAGGGACCAGGAAGGCACGGTCAGGCTGTATAACTGAGGTTACTGTGGAGGCAATGAGGGACGGTGGTACTCAGGAAGGTCTTCCTGAAGGAGACAACTGAGCCTGCAGATAGATGGAAGGTCAGCAGATGGGGTGATCAAGAAGAGCTCTGTCTGTCAGCCTATACATGCGCGTATGCACACATACACACACAGAGATAGCAAGAAAATTTTTGTCTAAATTTTTATTATTCAGTATTTACATTTTAGGACATAACCATTACCATTTTATGTTTATCTTGATAAAAATGATTCTTTAAGGAAGCCGAGAAAGAAGTTCAAGGCCAGCCTGGACTATATAGTAGTTTCTAGGCCAACCTGGACTATCAAGTGAGAGTCTATCTCAATAACAAAAATTCTACTCTAATAACAGCTGGCGAACCTGACTTTCTTAGCCAACCCCTTAATATTTGAACATTTAGAATTTTGCATTCATTTTTCATAACTGCAAGCAATATCA